GAATGAGACAGCGCCGGAATGTGGAAATTGATCGATTAAGAGATGATGATGATGATGATGATGATGATGATGATGATCCTTTGTGGTGGTGGTGGTGGTGGTGGTGGTGGTGGTGGTGGTGGTGATGATGATGATGGTGCACTGGATTGGCGGTCACGGACTCACTAAATATCTAGTTTTCGCTCAGTTCATGTCGCGGTCTCCAACAATTTCGTGAACTAGGGCGGGAGAGGAGAATGCGGCGGAGATTCCGGGTTTCTAACTCGGCCAACAGCCCAACGACAACAAAAGAGTGGGGATGGGTTTGTGCCTGAGATCTGACGGGTTGTATGGACACGCCTGGCCAAGTTATTGAGGCTGCTCCGCTCGGTTCAACACGAAGGGAAAGATGAAGAAGTTGGCCAGGGTTGAGATAGGTCAAGATAGGGAGATGGCAAGGCACAGTGCTTGTTATGGAGGAGAGAGACGGGAGGGGAGCCGGGGGAATTCGGCACGATGTCTGCGAACTGATGACGATGGTGATAAGAAGATCAGAGTTGAGAGTTGGTGATGATGGGCGGTTGGTGGAGGTTGGTGGAGGTTGTTTGAGGTTGGTTGAGGCGGAGGTGGCGGTAGAAGGTTGATCGATAAATTTACTCCGTCCTAAGGCGCAACTAGTCAATTGGATTCCACAACCTTGGGCGCCTGCAACCCAGCTGGCAGCTGGATGAATATCTGTACTCTGGACACGTACCATAGAATGGTCTGTTTTGTTGTTTGTGAAAGGGAAGCCCAACAGGATGAATATCAACTAGTTGCCAGTGAGCGATAACACGGAGCTATGGGTTTCAGCAACCGTGGTTCGCTCCAACTCTGTTTCAACTGATATTTGATATTAACTCTTAACTATAATCTGTATTCGGTTAAGAAAACAAAAAACCCTAAACGATTCGACACCCAACCAGTCCTCGGGGAGTCAAATAGAGAGATACTACGTAGCTAAAATAATAGTTAACTAACCCTAAAATGTCTCTGGTGGGTAGCGTAACAAAGAATCAAATCCGCCCCCAAATCTCGGTAGCATAGCAAGGCCACTTCTCCACGCAGCTTAACCGTCCAAGTAAGGACCAGCCGGCACCAAGCCACATTCGTCAACTTATAGTTATGAAGGGCAATCAATGGTAGTCCTACTTCAGTTGCCTCCTGTCATGATGGCTCGGCAAATTGGGGATGTGGATGAATGATGGGCGATGGGCGATGGCTTATGACCGTTGATATTTGAACAAATGAACATGATATCAGTGTCGTATTTCTGCTATCGTTATCGTACTGAACATCATATATGCAAAACATCGCCCCTTTCAAATCCCAATCTTCAAAATATCATTGTATAATATTGCTCAAACAGAATTAATTATATAAGAACATGCTTCACTTACTATATTTACTTCTCATTCTTGAGAATACTCATCAGGCTAACTGTGATCTGCTACAAAAGTGTATAGTGCATCTACTGCTATTCAGAAGATCAGATGCAATCTGATAGAATAACATCAATAAAAAAGAATACAAATAATCGAAGAGTATAATCAGCTGTAAACAGCATTAGCAATTAACTAAGTAAGAAATAATTCGAGGGGAGAAAACAGACTGTTATGTTTATAGAGCTCTCACATCATCTCTATAATATTCCATCTTCATTGACATTACTAGATATTGCACACAGGCAAGGGGGCGAGCGGGCGGGTAGGCGGGGAGTGATTTATATATCTCACTAACATTAGCACGGAATCTATAATCTAAGAATTCTCCACATCATCCATACAGGACCATAACTACTCATTATACAATTATAATGTCTAAGTAATATGCATCGCCGAAGTTTTCATAATAGCTCAAGATAGAAATAGAGGAATAAAGAATTCAAGATTTGACATTATAAAAGATCATTAGTAATATAGAAGAGCAGAAGCTATGATTGAGAAGATAGATATAGATTTATCTATTTATAAGGATCTATTGATCATAGGTCTAGTACTCTGTCTAAAAGAGAGGATTGCACAATACAAAAGAGCTGAAAGCAAAAGGATTATAAAGCTAGTAGCCATAATACATTTTTCAATTATATAAATAGAGAGAAGAGAGATGCTACGAGTTTTATGACCACTTCAACTCTCCTCCTTTCCCCATTGCTCTCCCTATTCAATAAATCCTGTAATCAACATGGAACTAATAACCGAGCTATACGAGGCTTTGTGTTATAACACAGATAATGCGCCCCATGGATCAACAAAAAACTAACAATTTTTGAAGTCCTTCAGTTATCTTTGTTGTCTTTCTTTGTACCGTAGTTACTAACTTCCAAATCTTATCGAGAAGCGTATGTGGAGATATGACGGGTAAAAAATGAATGATGTTGAAAAACTTTTCCGAATCCCAATGATGATTTACTAATTCATGTAAATCACTTTGCCCTTTGTCTATCTACCTACATACCTATCTGCCTGCGACATTTCTATCAGATCCCTATAATTTAGAGTGCAATATATATGCCAAATCTTTTTATAGAGCTCAGTATCTGCCTCTCTACTCAAAGTCCTGCTTGTAACTGTATAATGCTTGAAGATTGAAGATTGAAGACTTCCTAGTTGTAAGGTTTGTTGATAGGAGTGTCACACAGAGCTTATATATGGAAATTTATAGCGGATATACGACTCTAATCCGGAGGAGATTGACAGATACACAGCTCATTTGTTAATAGGTATATTCGACGAATGCGTGGAATGATCTGTAGCGAGCAGCAGAACGTGCGGAAACAGGCTTATATGGATAACAGAGATTAATGCATAGGGCAGTGAGAAGTAAATAAACAATGGACATCATGTTCTTCAAACGTATACGCCGACTTTCTGTGATATGGAGCGTCCTTACGTGCCATTTATTATAAACCCGTGTGGGCGACATGCTATTCAAATGGCCCTCTCCCGTTGACCGCCTTTCGAAGCTTCACCGCTTCGGCATCCGTCATCGGCCTTGATTCTCGACTCACCCCATCCAGCCAACGCAGCGTCGTTTTGAACTTGGTCTGTTTACGACCAAGCACTGTCCGGAACGCTGTAGCCGCAAGCCACTGAATCTGAGATCTTGTAATGTTGTTATCAAATCCGGAGCTCGTCCGGCAAGCAGTCAAATTGAGAGACTGTATGACATGGACGGCCACTTCTATGAGGTTTGAGATTGTCCGCATAAAGAGAGCTGATGACATCGTTGCGGTTTTGACCCATCTTCGAATTCCTCGCTGGCACAGAGAACGTGAATACTCATACAACTTCATTGCTGAATCGAGGAAACTGTGGTAGAGATTTGCCATTACTATTGAAGTCGAGTTATGCTTCGTGTCGAGGAACATGGCGTGGACCTGAGTTTTGAAGGAGTTTAGGGCCTTGCGGTAAAAAGAGATGCCAGCAGACTTAGTGGCATCAACTGTTATGGTATCCGAAGTAGTAAGACTAGGGTCCTTCGGTGTCCGATCCTTGGTGAGGGAAAGGGTATATGTATCGATAATATTCCCGCAATATGGGAACTGGCGTTGGGATGTTTCGACGAGGCGAGGGACTTTTCGTCCATCAATTGTGACCAAAAAATTGACCAGAATTTTCTCCGGGTTTACAGATATACCGTAGTCTTCATTTCCTTTAAGCATCACTTGCAGGAATTGAACAGCAACGCTAGGTTTTGTCGTGATGAGGAGATAGTCATCTATGAAGCGAAGAAGGAGTGTGTCGTCGTGGTCTAGGAACCCGAGCTTTTCCCGTTCATACTCGGCATACAAAAAGTTACAAAGTAATGTTGAAACGATAGACCCCTGCGGAATCCCGGTCCTTTGCCGAAAATACTTCTTGCCGATCTTCACTAGGTTGTTCTGGATGTGTTGTTGGAGAAGGAGAAGGATATCCCTCTTCTGATGTTTTTTGTACGTCGGGGTGCCAACAAAAATGGTATGTCGTTTTCTTTTACACTCTGTGTCGACGATAGCATCATACAGACTTGTGAGACCAGTAAAACCCACCGCTCTGGATATGAATTTCCTTACCGGCTTGGCTTTCGTCCTGTAGTGGCAACCTGGGATATTTGCCGGTGCTTCATCTGCGGGTCTGATCTCTACATGTTTGGTTATTAGATAATCGTCCTCCGAAACTAGCCGTTCGGTCAATTGAATTAGTCGTTGTTGGGGGATGGTATCAAAGCATGATTGGATGTCCAATTTCACAAAATAAAAAGGTTTAGTCCTTGCCACATTGGCTGGTACCTTACTCTGCTTGAAAGCTTTCAACCGAGAGTAGATGTCTCCAACAGAGAACATGGTGGCCCCAAGTAAGCCCAAACGCTGCATTTTCTCATAGTTGAGTACATTGAACGCTGGAGTCATGAGTGAATTAATGCTAGGTCCTAGCTCGCTGAAGCCTCCCCACCCGCATTTTCGGACAGGTCTCCGCCTGAGGTTAACGATTGGCCGTGCGCCCGATGACTTTGGTAGTAATCTCAGAAGACTGTAACCCAAATTGCGGGAGCTTAAAATTTGCTCCGCAGTTTCTTTTTTGACCTCCTCGAATGTCGAGCGCTTGAGCTGTACAATTGTTGGCTCTGTAAGCCGCCGCCATATATCATGTCGGAAGTAGAACAAACGATTACGATGGACGCCAGATTCCGTGACGTAGAAGTTTGAGCGAATCAACGGGATGAGGATGGAGTCGAATATATAGTAAACAAATTCAAGATATATCTCAGTCCTTTTACGGATATCTGAAGACGAAAGCTTGACGGACCGGAGACCCTGAATTCTGTTGGCGCAGGCGGGCTGCAGCCATTTGACACAAGTAATCTATAGTACGGTAGCACATTGGTTAGCGTAAGGATTTTTGCCTCCTTTTCTCTGTAGGTACAATTGAAGGCGAACAGAAATTCTTCTCCGTGTTAAACGGGAGACATGTGTCTGAAGGTACCAACTGACTAACTTTTAAGCCTTGTGAAACCTCATGCAATGATAAGCTCTCGAACCTGCGCATCTGTACGAAAGTATCGACGTGGCGCAGGATAATATTTCTATTCTTAATTCCATCAACCCCACAACCGTACAATTCATTGGGTATGAGTTTAGCTAACACCCCCCGACAAAATGCGGATACCGCAACATGCGGGGTAGCATAGTCTGTCATTTGGAATTTACTGGGTGGTCTTGTTTGGCGGGACGCACTATTAGATTGTGGTCCCACCAAGCCGAGAGTCGGAGGAAGGGTGTTCTGGAAAAGGAGAAATTAGATAAACCAACCATTTTCATTAATTGACAACGGAGAAGCAGCTGGTGTTGTACCTCAATAGGGCAGTAATAACGTAAAAGTTCTACATAAGGACACCGCTGATGGCGCTTTTGCAAGTTCTGAATGAGGACAACAAGGTCACCACGCAGTCGTTTCGGAATTTTGCCTGGAAGTTCGCTAGATTTTTCAGGGTCTTTCCGAGATGTGTCCCTTTGGTTCCTGAAGTATGATATCTCTTCCTCGCGCAGAGTATAGTCCTTGAACGGTTGGGTGGTTTCCTTAAGGTTCACACGAGAAGTAAAAACATTATGAAGACCGAATTGTCGTGGGAAAATGTATTTCAGTATATGCAAGGTATGGTTCCGGTTATTGCTCTGTGGATATCTGTTGAAAACATCTAATTTTTTTTTAGCATAACTAGAATAGCTATCAGTATGTGATGATGCATGGCACCTACGAATATGTCTGAGGCCGAATCGGACTCGTCCTTTTGCATTTAACGCAGGGCGCGCATACAGCATACGGCTTCTCACAAAGGAAATAGTTGCGGGAGTGTGAAGGACTTTATTAGCTGACTTAGGAGTCATTGCTGCTGCACCTCCTGTCGGGTTCTCCACTGCACTTTGAGACAGTTTGGCATTGGGTGCTGATTCCAAAATACTGAGTTCTGATAGTGGGATTCCTGAATGGATTGATCGCAAGTTATTACTAGGCGCCGAGCAAAGAACGGAAGATAGTTCTCACCACTCAATTGATAAAAGATACAATTCTTCTCATCTACCTGGATAAATATGCTGCAGTCCAGGAGTAAGTGAAGCATAATTTCTTCACAGTTTTTCCCGAGGAGGCCAAGGACGTCAGTCCAGGGTGAGTTCTTCAGTATTGAAACATTTTTATTTGGATACTGAGGGACAATGCCGCGGATGCCAGACATTGGATCATGTTCATGATTTGGGCGGCATTGATTAGATGCTCTCTGGAAACCATGACAGAGTAAATGCGGCGGTCTATAGAAGGAGCCGCGATAGCCATTGAACAGAGTGAGGATGGCGAAGTCGACAATCTGGGGTTATCACATGGCGCTATTAGTTTTTTAAACTATCTCCAATGCTCTTGAAGAATGGTTGACTGCGCAGAAAACAGCTATGAATTCAGCTACGCGATAATGGGCGTATTTGTCCAAAGAAAACACGAAGTCACTCACATCTGGCTGGGATGTAGTTGCACCAACGTCATTGCATTCCAGCGAGGAAAGGGCTTGGGATTGAGTAAAAGAAGCGAATTCTTTCTGCCGGGAAACATTGATAGTGTTGTCATGCTCCCTCAAAATACCCACCAGCGTTGAGTCCAGGGTGCCGGCAAGGTCTTGTATTTCCTCATCGGTCTTAAACCTTGTGCCAACTTCCTGGGAAGCGGAGGGATAGGGGGGTTGGTCGAAGCTATTCCGTTTCTCCAGGCCAAGAGAGGCGACTTTTTTCTTTCGCGACTTGGACGACAGTGGCAGCTGCTCGCAGAGAAAAGTCCTGAGCGTCACGACTCGGGAATAGTAAAGTGAAAGCACTGGATGGTAAATCGAGCCATCCAGAGGCTTGTCTTCCCTAGCATGTTTGGAAGACGGCAAATCAGTCAGAACGGGATCTTTCGTGGGCCGTTTTCGTTTCTCAGCCATTATTTTATCAAGACATCGCCGGGCGCCTAGCTAACGGCAATCATTGTGTTCAAAGTCCCATCGAAAGTTGTTTCTTTGGTGAAAACGAAACGGATCTTGGACATAATAGACTAGTCCCGATAAAGTTAGTTTGTTATAATCGGGACTAGTGTGATCAAGGATTGATACCACACCGTTAGCATTAGTTAGGCACCCCTGAGTGTAATCTCTGGAGCCAGTTAAGTTGCCGAAAAGGAAACCTATCAATCCCCTGTTCCAGGTTGGTATTTCTCCCTTTCCTGGGTTGCAGTTGAGTGTGGTTTATTAAAAGTTGAACATGGTTTAAAAATAGTGGGTCTGAAAAATAACCATGCTCAGCCCTTCACTCCCTCACTAAAATCTACACACACTCTCTATATATTACTAATCAGCTCTCATTTAGTCCTCCTACTTCAACATCTGAAGATGTGTGAGTGATGTGTGGGAGATATGGCTAGTGCATTTAGTTTTAATGGGGGGGTTGACAATGGTTTATGGTCAAAACCACGCCGAAGGTTATTCCGGCCCGAAAAATTAACCATGTTCAACTTTTTATTAACCACTTTAACCAGCCGATACTACTGCTTACCTCAGCTCACCTGAAACTCATACGCTAGTGCCGAATAGGCAAACCAGAACTGCACAGCTTCATCACGGGTTTTCTCCTGCCGCGAGCCAACTCTGCGGTTTCTCGCTCGCTTGAGCCGCCATACCTCCTCTGTCTGTCTCTCTCGCTACTTTACCGGCCCTCTGTCATTTGGGCTTCCGCATCGCTCTCGTTCTCCCGGGGCCTTGATGTTATGGTTCGATTAAATCCGCGCTTTCATTTTGTTTTTGTTTATATCCATCGTTCGTTATCAACGCCTCCCTGATGCGTTTCGTTGTTCGTTCTACCCCTGAGCTCGCCAATATCGCTCCTCTGATAATTGCCACCGTCATTCGTTCGATCCCTTTTACAATCCAATCTTTCTTATCTCTGAAAATTGGTCCAGCTTGTCATATTGTTGGTTTGGTGTTTTATTTTTTCCTTTCCGGTTTTGGTGATTGTCGCGTCTTTAATATCTGCCTGGGAATTTGTCGTCATTGGCGGTAAACAGGCGTTTGGAAAGCACAGCGCAAGGAGGACGAATATCACCAAAGAACGAAATCAAGAAGAGACATTTAGGGTCACGGTTAAGGGATCACGACCCGATCAACGAACGGGCTCACCTTAAATTTCCGTTTTTCTATGGGCTCTATGTTTGACCCCCGACCAGAATAATGAAATGACGACCATATCTGTAGTCCCCGACTCTCCTCCTGAATTGTCTGGCTCCAAATCCTCCAAATCCTCGTCGTTCCGCTCCTCTTCCCAAAATTCGGGTCCCGACGACATCCTGGCCGATATTTCCAATTTTGAGGATATAGGTTTGGAGGACCGGTATATTGATCCACGTCACTTCCCACAGGACAAGTTTGCTCTGAGGTCAAACCGTCGCCTCGTATCCACCGGCATAAGGTCTCGTACTACGCCCATGGCGACAATAGCGAGGGATTTGACAGCGTCTGCCAACAGAAGGAATAGCCCTAAGCTGCAGGGTCATGTTCAAGTTACAGAAGTATCGCAGTCTCTCGCTCTCCCACGATCCCGGAGTGCATCGCGAAGAGTTATCTCTAGTTTTTCATCCCCTTCGCTACATCTCCACCCTTCGCTGCGACAGCGTTCGAGATCCCCTTCTCCCGGCACGCAACCTACTGCATTGTCGTCACGTAACAGTACACCATTGCCACCGAGGCCCCGGCTTCCTACGTCCCGATCTTTCACACATTCCACGGCTCAACAACGACACAGAAAGACTGTAGAAGAGTTGGAGGATGAATACCACGATTCAGATGAAGAACTTCCTGAAGGTGCAACCTTATGGAACGTTCCTATCTCTCCGAGACCTCCCCACGAGCGGCATGGAGGTAGACGTCCTAGCCCTGATCGAAGGAGTCCCGGTCCTCGGCCGATTCCACTGTCCCATTCGACGTCGGCTCCTCCATTATCAGCACCTCCAACAACTTCAGCACCAACCTCTGCTAGACTTAAAAGTCATAAACTGCCAAGAGCCAGTTCTCTAGGTCCTCCTCGAACGCAGCCGGTACCTCGTTCCCCGCGCATCAACTCTTGGAATCTGGTCATGTCTGAGCTTTCTGAGGAAGCCAAAATATTGACGGAAGCGCTGGAGTTCCACGCTGATGCTGCGATCCAGAAGCGCGAAGATCGCCTCCAGAGCGGAAAGTCATCCACCAGATCTAGGTCGGAAGATGGAAAACGCGCATCAAATGGAATGATCCAGCTTCCACCTTTACAGAAGTCAAATATTATGATTGATCCTCTCCCAATTAGCAAAGAGAAAGAGAAGGTCTTGTCGCGAACCCGGCCAAGTTGGCTTCCTCCTAAGGACCCAAGGGAGGAAAGGAAGCACTTGTTGGAGTACAAACGTATGATGGAACTCTCACGTGAAGCGGGTATGTGCTCCTCCTTTTCCCGTTCACCCAGAATATCTGCCTGAGTTTTGATATATCATAGACAAGCGTAAAGCTGCGGAAGCTGCCTCTGCCCTGTGTAAAAAAGATGACACTCGTAAGATGCTGCAGCGCATCTGGGATGACTACGTCTTCCCTGATTGGGACCGCGTCATATCTGAACATCGTACCAGGGAGCTCTGGTGGCGTGGAATTACTCCACGTTCACGAGGAGCCGTCTGGCAACGTGCTCTAGGAAATGAACTGGCGCTGACAGAGGAGACTTATGTGAAGGCTCTCGAAAGGGCTAAGGATATTCAAATCACTATAGATGATAATGCAAATGATACACATGAGAGGATGAAAGAGTGGTTCGCGGCCATTCGGAGGGATGCATCTACAGCATTCCCGGACCTTCATTTATTTGGTGAAGATGGCCCACTACGGGAAAAACTGATTAATGTTCTCGATGCATATTCGATGTACAGAAGTGACGTTGGCTATCTGTACGGCATCCATGTAAGTTAAATAACCAAGCTGCTATTATATTTCAAAAATTAGAAACAAGTGATCTTAACACTTCGTTTAGACTATCGCAGCTCTTTTGCTACTCAATCTCCCAACGCCAGCTGCGGCATTTCAGACACTGGCCAATGCCCTCAATAAACCCTTGCCACTGGCCTTCCTAACCGCAGATCCCGGTGCCACGTCTCGGGCTTATTCTTTGGCGTCGACAACTTTGCGCCTGAAGTATCCACGCGTATCCAATCATCTGTATGAGAATATGTACCTATCTGATGAACAAATCTGGGGCCCCATGTTCCAGACCCTCGTCACAAATGGCCTGGACCTCGAACGCCTGAGCCGTGTATGGGACTGCTGGGTCTTTGAGGGTGATCGGATTATTATTCGTGCCGCTGTTACCATAGTTGGGTGTCTGGAGACTACAATCTTGAATATATTGCCTGGCGATGAGGGCCAAAGAACCTGCATAAGACTTTTGGGATGGGGCTCTAAGCATGTTGAGAGGGCTGGAAGAGTTAATTCTGTTGAATTGAATCATGCTGAGGTCGACGGGAACGGTGAGGGTGGCAACGGCAATAACAGTGTTGGCAATGAGCTGAGCGGATATTGGATACTTAATAATGCTGGCGACGAGGACGCGTTTATGGGAATGGTTCGGGTTGCGCAAAGGAAATGAGCCTTCCTTAGCGTTCTAAGCCAGCCACCTGTTCACATGTAATTATGAGCCACATCCTCGCCTCCGGAATTATTCGTCGTGCTGCCTTTTGTTCTGCAGCCCCTTACCACTGTTTCCCCCGCGCCCGTCGACTCTTGAGTTTCATTACCTAGTTTAAATACCCTCCTGTTGTATTAACTTTTCAGCCAGAATCCATTTCCCCTTTGCTTTGGACTTTTGGATTGCGCCATTCTTTTATGATTCATGATACCACAATTTATTTTTCGTGTCGACACTAGTATCTGCAGCTAAATAATGTGCTTGAAAACACGAAGGATACTTCCGGCTATCCTTTGCACTAATTCTTCGTCATCCCTACTCTATAGTTGATTCTTATACAGGCGTATATATATATATTGCGGAGCTAATCGTATTAACGTTCGCCGTGTGTGTGTGTTCCTTGACCGTGACTCCTCCCCTTCAATTGACCGATTTTGTTTATTGAGAAACCATTATTGTTTATTATTAATTGCACTACCCCTATTTTTTCAGGAAGGTAAAGGAGGCTCAAGCTTTTTCTGTTCACTGCAAGTTGGGCAATTTTGAACGTTGATATGTTTGTTTTTTCCGCACTCCTGGCTCTTTTCAAATTCCTCCTTTCCTACACACTTTTTCAACATCTATATCTCCTTAGTATCTTATGTATTCAACTTGCAACTTGTAATATTTCTATTTTATTAACTCTTTTCCTTTCCTTTCTTCTTTTCCTTTTGTATGGTAGACTCACTTGGATCTATCTCTTCCTCTTTTATCGCGTTTTCCAAAGTCTACTCAGGTGATAAGTTTAAGTTTAAATCATCATTTCCTGTCATTTTCAATACAACATAGAAGCTCCAATGATCGTTCCTTTAGGCTCCGGAATATCTCCACCTTTCCATCACTCTAGTTGACCCTAGGAAGACTTGATAATGTGAGGTTAAATTAATAAAAATATCTCGGCTACATCATTCATGATTAGCATTCTTCATGGTTAAGATTGGAAATTGCTTACACCTTGCGCTTCAGCGAGGAGTACATCACAATTCTTGCTTGGATCTATCTACCGGTTAACGAAGTATTTGGCAGCCATCAAGCAACCAGACTCGGCATCGACACGACTGAGTACGCTCCCAAATGATCCGGATAAAAGCTGATATATTGTGGCATATCTAATCATTAGTAGTCCTAGTCGTCTGGCAGTAACTAACGTCCTAGCGATGAAACAGACGGTCAACAAACATCTGACCCGGCGAGCCCGTCTAGAGCCTAGAGTTTAGAGGGGATGGTCTCCACAAATCTCTCTTACCGTGCCTCATACCAGTTGACGTGGTAGGCATCCTATTTCAAGGAGGTAGGTTGCGTAATCTCGCTGTGGAAATCCCCTGGGACAGGACATCCAAATGTTTGTTTGATAGAGCTACCCACGTTCAACTGTACGCCCCTTGTTAACATGACTGTACAGTGGTGTCCAATAAGTCAGTGTACTAGAGGCTTGGCGCTGAGCTTCAGCACCCTACCCATCTCAACTAGATATTAAATAAAATCTCAACCAGGTATTCAATATAGAATTATATATATGTTTTATATAGCTAAATCAATAAAGAATATTTATATACATTTTCTTTTCTAATACTTGATTGATTCATCTCTGACTTTGATAACTGTAGTTAATCTTTAAAATATGAAGCTGATTAGATGCTGTATTTTAAATTATATAATAAAATCTCATATCATCTGTAATTCTATTCTCATTTTAGTTTCAGAGTGTATTCAATATTGTATCTTTGATATACAAAACTAGATACAATTGTTCAAAAGGATAAAGCATCTACTCATAATCATTATATTCAACACTGAATATATGATATTTATAATATTCAATGAATGCTCTAATTAGATAATTTTTCAGATTTTAATCTGATAGAACCTTGCTGACTCTGAATAAAGCACAAAATTACACAAAAAGATGCATCAAAGAATCAAACAGAAGCAATCAAGATATGAAAACAATGTTGAAAAGATTTTTCTGTAATGGGCGTACTTGGATTAACGATCTAGCACTATCCTAAATACAGATTACGAATTGATTAAGGAAAGAAATAGAAAAGAGATCAGAAGGAAAGGTCGTACGAAGGGGGTTCTTATAGAGGGGAGATTGGGGCGGAAGAATATCAGAAGCCGCCCCACAGTGAAGCATGGAGCGGAAGAACATTAAGGGTTACGCGGAAGAATCGTTAGAGGCTACGCGAGCGCAGAGTGCAATAACATGGATGAGTAGGTGCAGGAGGGGAGTTGGTTGCGTAAGTTAACTACTAACGGATGCGAACCCGTCATACTTTCACAGAAGACTATACAAGTATGAATAGAGCAGATTTCTATTCATATTTAAAAGATTATAGAGTTAGAAGATGAAAATAAATATAAAAAAGACTTCAGATAATTGTATTTAGATTATATAATATAGAGCATTTATTATCTTCAAATTTATTATCAAAAGTTTGCTCTTTTCAAAATATACGTTTATAGCATTTTTAGTACAAGAAAGAACTTTTAAGATGATCCTCTGTACAAATTATTTCATTCAATTTATAAGAGATGTACTTCAATTAATGATTAGCATTATTCTAATACAGTTTACAAATTGATTAAGAAAAGAAAAAAAGAGAAAAAAGATTAGAAAAAAAATTATATAAAAAAATTTTTATAAAGAAAAAAATGAAATAGAAAAATATTAAAGATCATATTGTAATGAAATACAGAGCAGAAGAACATTGAGAATTATACAAAGAAATCATTAAAATTATATATATATATAAAATGAAGATTAAACAGAAGAATTGTTAAAAGTTATACAAATATAAAATAAAATTATAAGATATTCATTATATAAATTAATTATTAATAGATGCTTATTCATTACATTATTTCTCTCTATTAAAATAAATGAGAATTTATAGACATTGAAAATGACAGTATCTTTTATAGCAGATGTAGATTCTCAGATTAGATAATTATATTCCATTCATTTAATAAAATATTCACAATAGAAGTAATTGATTCTATTATTAAAAATCACTTCAATCTCTCATTTAAATCTATTGTCTTTTTTTATAATAATAAATGATTGTCAATCAGAGATTTTTTATAAGAGAAACAGATCTTCAATTTCAAATCAGAGCAGATTTATATAAAATATATTATAAATATTAAATGAAATATTAAATTAATAATTATACATGCTCAGCACTTCTGTTACTGTGTATTTGATATGATGATAATTTAATATACACAAAAGATGATTCATTTTTATGTTTTTGAAATTCAATCAAATTTTATTTTTTATATGATATTGAACTGCAGAATGTAAGAGATGAAGTACAAGAATAATTAGCGAGTAGTGTGAAGTATATATAAAAATTATAAAAAGATAGCAATCTTTATTATTCAAAGTTAATCATTGATCTTCTAAGATCTACAGATATCAGTGAGCTTTATATAAAAGACAAGAAATGCAGTAATTCATGCCTTGTTAATGGTGTTTAGTGTTATATCCATTTTCATTAATTTTAATGTATTTTATAATCTTTTATTATTATATTGCTATTTTCTAATATAAATATTTCTGTTGTATTTATTACAATTATCTCTTTTTTTCAAAGATCTGGTTCTCAGAGCTTCTTATCATAATGTATGAGGTTTATGATTTATACTACATGATTGATATTTGTAAGTTCAAATCAGATTAATTATTAAGATTGATGTTGAAATATTGTTGTTTTGAAGAAATGTTTTTTCAATTGTGATGTTATTGCAATTTAATCATGATTTAACTACATTTTCTAAATCTCTTTTCTTTAATCTTTACATCAAAAATCATACTCTAACAAGATCATTATCAATATTATCAACAATGATTTTTTTATTAAAGATGAATATATCAATTTATCAAATAAAATACATAGTATCTTTCTATGTAAGTTTTATTGCAAAATTTAAAGTTTTAATTATATGATTATATTTTTCATTCTGAGCTGAATTTTATATTGTTGCAATTTTTTAAATAATATTACAATATTGATTTTAATTATTAACATCATTTTTCTTTTTTATTTCTTCTACTTTTTGTTCTTCTTTAAATAATATTTTGATATTGATTAAAGTAATAAAATGTTAAAATCAATTGTTTTTATTGCTGATTCTGAATCTGTGAAGAATGATATGTTGAATGTCATCAAAAGAATTTGTTTGAGTTGTATGAAGAGATTGTAAAACTCTTCAGTATACACTCTCATTTTATGAATAATGAATGAATATATTATTATATTTATCACATATCAAATAGAAATTGTGCTGCTGTAAGTTTCTTATTGATTTAAATTATTACAGATATTAATGAAGTATAGATGTCTGAGCACTTTCAAAAAATCAATCAATTTCTGATTAATGAATTTCATAAAATATTGTTTTTCAATAAAATGCTGAATGAAAGATTTGTTATATATCAAACTGCTGTTGCAAGGTTTGTATTTGATATGCAAATCTACAAAAATATAGATAGAGTTCTTAACTTTTATATAAATTTTAACAATCTGCTATCACAGTAAAGAATGATGTTTAATCATAATAATGTTTCAAAAAATGCATTCTCACATTCAGTTGTTACATCAATATCATTCTCACTGAGCAAGAATTTCAATGCATTGTTTGAATTGCTTGATAATGCTGATGATGTATGTATGTATGTATGTATAGGTTTAACGTCCCGGAGAAAACACGGGCAGCGCCCGTGTTTCAGAAGCCTCCCGAAGGGCATGGAGACGTGCTACGCTGGAGAGATTTCTATGTACACAGAGAGAGAAAACAGAATCCAGGTGGCAACTCTTGAGAAGACTCAGCTCATTGCAAAGGATTTTTCTGAGCTGCGCATCCACTTCTGGCCCGACGTATGGCCATTCATGGTGGGGCTATAATGTGGTTCCCTGAGGGAACCGCCGCTGCCGTGCCTGGAAGGCTTTATAGTGAGCAGAGAGGGATACCTCTCTCAGTTGATCAGAAAGCTGTCTGTGCTTCTAACATCAGAAGAAAGACAGACAAGATAAATAATGAAGGAGAGAGCACTGAAGAAGGTTGTGACAGGAAAAGAGCAGAGAATGACAGCGAGAGCAAAGAAAAGAAGGAAGAAGAAGCATTTGAGCCGATAGAGACAAGGGCAAACGAGAGGAAAACAAAGCAGAGCACGCGTAGATACAATGCCGGCAGTCAAAACCATATCAGCTGAGTCAGACACGTAGACTGTACTGATTACACCACCGCTAATTGAGACAGATGAGCCTAGTTGTGCTATCTGTACTGTCTGCATAGACTGTGATGTCCCTGGCAGTTGCACTAGCTACCGTGGGTGTACTCAGCAGGCCGGCCTCGTGGAACTGCTGCGGGGGTTGTCAGATGGTTTGCAGCCAGCCGGCTGCGTTACCTTGTGCAGTACCGTGTGTAGAACTGCGTGCAGTCCAGCAGTTCTACAAAGTCTGTAGGGGTCAGAGACCCTAGATAGGCAACAGCTGTCGCCCGGTTGTGTGGCCGTGCTGCTGGCCTCTTGGGCCAGTGAAGAAAGTGCCTCTGTGAGTGTCGACAGAGCACCAAATGTTCTGGGCTCTTGTTGTGTCCACAGACACAGGTGAGCCTCGCATCTGCATGCTGGAAACGCCTGTGGTACCAGGAGAAGTCCCCATGAGAGGAGCGGAGTGCGAGCCAGCGGTGAAGGGCATGCCGTGGCATGGTGAGCTCCGGAGGGGCCTTCACTTGGTATTCCACAGTCGGCCTGCTGAAACTCCAGCCCCGGTACCAGTCAGAGAGCTTGCCACAGGCTCCACTCCACCACTTTCGCCTTGCCTCTTGGCTGAGCTGCTTGGCCACTGTGCGGACCCCACTGACTGTGGGTGTGGCCTCGAGACCATAGGCTGGGGCTGCAGTGGATGAGACTGCCCGCTTAGCCAAGCGGTCTGCTTCCTCATTGCCCTCTATCCCCATATGCCCAGGAGCCCACTTCAGGCCGACATTGTGCTGTCTGAGGAGCTCATGGCAGCGGTTGTAGGCCCAGTTTGAGGAGGCTGCTGCACTGCCCCGTATGCCCCAGATGACTGAGGTGTTGTCGAGGCAGAGCCAGATCTGAGGGTTGCTGCTGTCCTCTGTGACACAAGGTAGGAGCTTCACAGCGCACTCTAATGCCCGGCAGGCACCAACTGCCTCAGCGTCGAAGACATGTGACATAGGGCTCAGCGCAGCTGAGAAGCTGGCCAGCTGTTTATTTCCCTGATAGACTATGAAGCCATAGCCCACC